ATGTTCAACATGGGGCTCTCGCCTTAGCACCGCGTGCATTCGTTTAACAGGATCGACCTACGAACTTGGAAAAGGATATACAAATGCGAAGCATGTAGATTGTTCAAGAAACCACATTTGCGCCACGGGCAATGGTAGTACTCGAGGTATCGATGGTGACGTACAGTGCCAGGGGGCATGCTGTTCTGTGCTGTGATGAACTGAAATGCGCCATACCGCGGTGAAGTGCTGTGCTCTGTTGCGTGGCGGATCAGGTCGACAGTGGCGTCAAAATCCCGATCGAATTGATTTGGATCTGAAGCTCAAGCTGCTTGAACGCATAATTCAGATCTGGCCGCAATCGAAACGCGTCGGGCGCTCGACCAGCTCGAGCTCAATCTCTTGTTCAGCTCAGAAGCGGGATGATCAGAAAGGGGGCGAATCTGAACAGTTCTGTGCTCTGTTGCGTCGTGGATCAAATCTTCCCCGGCGTCGGAATCCGGACAAAACGGAACTGGGCCTCAAGCTCGAGCTGCCTGGGCGCATTGCTCGGCCAGAGCTGACTGCAGCCGAGGCATTATGAAAATATTGTGCCCCGCCGCAGGGCGATCTGATAAGGGCGAATCCAAACCGAGGCGACATGCAACGAAAAGGGGCGGGCCGAAGCGCCGACGACAACGGCGGCAGACGGCGACGACCGCGACCGCGGTACCAGCTCTGGGCCGTTTTGTTAAAGATTCACCAGGGTGCCCTGGACACGTGAAAACACGTGGTTCCATCTCGGGACCACCATGAGAGATAACCCAGTGGGAAATCTGGAACTTCTCCCGCCGAAGAAACGGTGTCAGGTTATTGAACATATTTGAACATTTGGCGCTGATGTATTGTTTTTTTTAGCTGTTGTCGGCCACCGCGCTGGGGGCGCCCCCCCAGACGACCACATGTTCGATGTTCCCCGTTGGGTGGCCCACATACGTAAACAACGCAAGGTTCCAGCTCGGGGCCACCATGTTTGAATCCCCCCTGGGTGGCCAGGACACGTAAAAACGTAGTTCCAGCTCGGGACCACAATCTTAGATACCCCCGTGCGTGGCCTGGATACTTGAAAACACGTGGTTCCATCATGGGGCCAACATGTTTGAGATCTCCCTAGGTGGCCTGGACACGTGAAAACACGTAGTTCAAGCTCGGGATCACAATGTTAGATAACACAGTGTCGGAAATCTGGAAATTCATTTGTCGAAGAAACTGTGTCAAGTTGCTACAAATCTGGTGTAGATTTATTGATTTTGTCTGGCTCTTCTTGCCCCACCCCACGCTGGGGGCTCTCAGACGACCGCATGTTAGATACCCCCCAGTGGGTGGCCCGCACACGTAGAACACGTGGTTCCAGGTCGGGGCAACCATGTCGATACCCCTATGGGTGGCCAGGGTAGGTAAAAACAAGCTTCCAGCTCGGGACCACCATGTTAGATGCCCCAGTGGTTGGCCTGGACAAGCAAAACACGTGGTTCCAGCTCGGGGCCACCATGTTTGATACCCCTCTGGGTAGCCTGGACACGTGAAGAAAACGTGGTTCAAGCACGGGACCACCATCTTAGATACCCCCGTGGGTGGCCTGGACACGTGTAAACACGTGGTTCCATCATGGGGCAACCATATTAGATACCCCCTGGTCGACCTGGACACGTGAAAACAAACATTTCGCTTCAGATGTCTTTTGAATTCTTGTGTCCAGGAGAGGGGCAATCTATAAAACAAATAGAAAGGTTTCGCTGGAGACATCCTCAACAATTTCTGCAACACAAGCGTTTCGCTCGAGACATCCGCAACAAACGAGAATGTGTGCTTTAGCTTCTGATTTACCAATCGGAATCTCAAAAACCAGCGTTTCGCTCGGAGCATCCTCAACATGTAATCCGCCAGCCTTACGCGACCTCGTTATTCATCGCAGGATGATTCTGCCAGCGCTACGCCAGTCGAAGCCAGGGGGAACACCTGCTAAAGAGAGCTCTGGGCCGGATCCCTTTCCATAATCAAATTGCATGGGCTTTATGGGTGGAGGTTGGGTCGTTTTTAACATGTGGCTCTCGCATTAGTGCTGCGCGCAAACGTAGTACAACATTGCAGAAGTTTTGCGGATGGAGGGCGGCTCCTTTCAAACTGTGGCTCTCGCCGTAGAGCGTTCTAAGAGTCTACAGCAGTGTCAAGGATTATCATGGCTATTGTTCCAGAAAGGGTATTTTGGCCAGATATCGGATTGCCAGGGCGGAACAGTTACGGGGCACTTCCATCGTGAGAATGAACCCTTGTAGGGGCCTCTGAAGATGGAGCTTGGAGGGAGGATGTATTTCAACATCATTGTTAAATCTTGGGTTTACGTTGGTCCTCCTCCTCCTTCTCCTCCTCCTCCTCCTTGTCCTCCTCTCTCTCTCTCTCTCTCCCTCTCTCTCTCCGTTTATTTCGCTCTCTCTCTCTCTCTCTTTTTCCTCTCTCTCTCTCTCTCCCTCGCTCTCTCTCTCTCTCTCTCTCTCGGCCATGGCGTGCATCGCACGCGGCCATCCTCCTCTCCTCCTCCTCTTCTCTTCCTCTCCTCCTCTCCTCCTCCTCTTCTTGCCCTCCTCCTCCGTCTCCTCCCATGGGCAACGATGGGGGCTGGCTGGGGCGGGGGATAGGCTCAGAAGGGGAAGCGCGCCGAAGCCCAGACGCCAATGCACCGCCGATGGGCGCCTGATGGCCCACCTCGCCCAGGCACGCTCGATTTCGCCAGCGAGGACCCCTTGCCGATCTGTTTGCGATGCATCGCCGATTCTGGGTCGACCATTCCCCCTCGGAATGTAGTCCTCCATTACTTCGGTGGTTCAGGCATGATCGGCCCACGAGCCCGGAAAGGGATACAGAAATGTGAAGCATGGCACCGTTTCTAAGACGTCAAGCTTGGGCGACGCGCAATTAATGTGCTCAGAGTAACGATCGTGATGCACTGTGCCACGGGCTGTGCTGTATTGCGCCGTTCTGTGCTGAGTTCAACGTGTCACGCCGCGTTGACGCCGCGTCAAGCCGTGCCGCGCCCCATTGCTTTGTGGATTAAACCGTCCTTGGCGTCAGAGTCGTGGCCGACCTGATTTGAATCTTAAGCTCGAACTGCCTAAACGCATAGCTCGGGCTAGTTCTCGAGACGTGCGAGGCGCTCGACCAGCTCGAGCTCAAGATCCGATTCAGTTCCGACGCCATCGCTCGAGACATTCGGTTCCGCAACGGAGCGAACCGAGTGCGACCACGACAGGCGGGGGAGAGAAGTGGGACGAACCGATCAAGCGGCGAATCCCAACCTAAACGAGAAACACAGATGACGACAAGGCCCCCGCTCGACACCTCCTCAAACAATCGGAAAACCAGCGTTTCGCAATAGACATCCTCAACGCATCCTGCAGAATGAGCCTTTCGCTGCAGGCGAGGACCTCGCTCGAGACATCCTCAACAGAACCTGCAGAGCGAGCGTTTCGCACTAGACATCTTCAACACGTACTCATGTTAAGGATCCACTTTGGCGGCTTGGACACGTACAGACCTGCGTTTGGCTCGAAGTACCCTCACCAAATCCTCATGTCAAAGATCCGCATGGGCGACGTGGAACAAGCGTGTACACACATGAGTCCCTTGCGCGCAAGGGCGGAACACGCGTGAACGCACGTGGGTCACTTTCGCGCCAGAGCGGAACAAGAGTGAACACACGTGGGCCCCTTCTCGCCCCAGAGCTGAATCAGCGTGAAAACACGTGGGTCCTTTCAGAGCGCAGCAAGCGTGAAGTCACGTGGGTCCCACGTGTGTCCCATCCGCTCCAGAGCGCAGTAAACGTGAACGCACGTGGCTCCCTTTCGCCCCAGAGCGGAACAAGCGTGAAAACATGTGGGTGCCTTTCGCCCAAGAGCGCAGCAAGCGTGAACTCACACGAGTCCCTTTCGCTCCAGGCGGAGCAGGCGTGAAAACACGTGGGTCCCTTTCGCCCCAGAGTGCAATCAGCGTGAAAACACGTGGGTACCCTCCAGGAAGTCCCAGGAGGCCTGCCCAGAGCCCCCAGGACGAAACGTGCCAAATGATTCTGCATCTAGTGCCGATTCGTCGTGACAACACGTGGGTCCCTTTCGACCCAGAGCGCAGCAGGCGTGAAATCACGGGGGCCTTTTTCTGCTCCAGAGCGCAGTAAGCATTAAAACATGTGGGTTCTGTTTGCCCCAGAGCGGAACGGGCGTGAAAACATGTGGGCCCCTTTCGCCTAAGAGCGCGGCAAGCGTGAAAACGCGTGGGTCCCTTTCGCCCCAGAGCGCAGCATGCGTGAAAAAACACGTGGGCTCCTTTCGTCCCACAGCGGAGCAAGCGTGCGTGAGTGTTTTCACGCTTGCCCCGCCCCGAGGCGAAAAGGGCCCACGTGCTTTCATTATTGCTCTGCCCTAAGGCGAATGGGGCCCACGTGATTTCACGCTTGCCGCGCCCTCGGGACAATCGTGAAAACAAGCATTTCGCCAGACACATCCTCTGAATTCTGCCCCCCAGAAGAGGAACAATCTATAGGACAAAACAAGCGTTTCGCTCGAGAGATCCTCAACAAATTCTGCAGCATAAGCGTTTCGCTCTAGACATCCGCAACAAACGAGCCTTTTCAAGTTACCTTGTGTTTTATCCATCGGAGTTTCAAAGACCAGCGTTTCGCTCGGGACATCCTCAACATCGTGATTCGCCGGCCCTACACGACTGATCGCCTGCCGTGCGCAAGTCGAGGCCAGGGGGAAACAGCAAAAAGAGAACCCTGGGCCCCAGCCCTTTCCGGGACAATGGGGCCCTGAGGGACGGTGCCCTAAGGGAGCAGGATGGATCACAAGTTGAGCCTTTACTTTTTGAGGTTCTCGTCCTTGGGGCTCCATCCCTCAGGCCCGCATTTTTGAATCGACGGCCTCTCACTCCCCGTTATCACCCTCGCCTTCATGGAGCACGGGGGAGGTGCCGTGAGGGGGCCCTCACAGGCCTCGTGAGGATGAACGGGAGCCTCGTGGACGTGGAGGCGGACCCTGCCACTGGCAGGATGTCGACGAACTTGCAGGTTCTCCTGCCGCCCACCCGCCATTTCGTTGGCCCCCTCCGTCCTCCGCTCCCCTCCGTTCCTCCTCCCCCCTCCTCCCCCCTGCCCCTCCCTTTCCCTGCCCTGCTGTCCTCCCGCCCTCTCTATACAAAACTGTAGTCCACGGTGCAAGCCCCAGGACGGAGCACGTGCTGCGCTCTCCCCGACTCTGTCCTTGCTCCGCCTGCTCCCTTGCCCCCTCTCCGTGCTCTGCCTTCCTCCCTCCCCCTGGTCCTTGCCCTTCTCATCCTCGTCGTCGTCGTCGTCCTTCCCCTGAGAGGTGCACACCCCGCGCGTTTCCGAGAGGATTATTGACGAGGGAGGCGGATTTATGTCGGCCGGCGCGACGGAAAGGATCTTCGACTCAGAGGCCATCCACAGGTGGACAGACTGTTACGAAGACGATTACATCAAGCGTCAATTCTCCATGGGTGTCTCCCTTGGCGACAACGGGGCGGCATTATTCACAGACGCCGAGGACGCCACGGAATGGATGCAGAGCATTTTTGCAATGACGAACATGGTCTATGAGCCCCAGCTCAACATCGCGCTAATGATCGACGCGGTCTATATCCCAGCGTATGTCTCAGAGTCCACGGACTGGGCCAGCTGCGCCAGTGGTATCAGTCAGCAGCTGGATGATGCGATGGCCTGGTCGCAGCCGTCCAGGCAGGGCTTGTGGCATGTGTTCGACGACTGCTTCACAAATGGTCAGGCTGGCACCGTCGGCCTGGCGGTCTTGGGGTCCGCCTGGAATGGGTTCTGTGCGATGGACCCGTTGGGTGGGCAGATGACCAATGTCGGTGTCACGTACATCACTTCTGGCACCTGGCTGACGTTTGCTCACGAGGTTGGCCACAATCCGTCAGGCTGGTGCCACATCCGCCTCCTGGGCCGCGACGCTGGGTAGTATCGAGGTCGGCGGTCTTTCTAAGGGCAGAGGTTGGAAGAGGGGCAGGAGGAGGAAGACGAGGAGCAGCAGGAGACGCATGATGATAATGATGACGAACATCTTGATGATGATGAAGATGATGATTATGGCGAGGATTATGACGACGATTGTGATGATGATGATGACGATGACGATGCTTATGATGATGATGATGATGATGATGATGATGGTGATGATGACGATGACGATGATTGATAACGGCGATGAAGATGGCGATGATGATGATGTTCATGATGATGATAATAATGAAGGTGATGCTGCTGTTGAGGATGATGATGATGATGATGATGATGATGAGGATGATGTTGACGATAATAATAATAATAATGGTGGTGATGATGATGAAAATGCTGATGCTGTTGATGATGATGATAATGACGATGACAATGATGTTGATGCTGACGATGGATTCATGATGATGACGACGATGATGATGATGGTGATGGTGATGGTGAAGGTCTTGTTGATGATGACGATGATGACGATGATGACAATGACGACGATGTTCACAATGGCGATTACGATAATTATGATTTTGTTGAAGATAATGCTGTCTAGGATGATGATGCTGATGGTGATCAGGATGTGGATGACGATGACGATGGTAATGATGATTCTGATGATGTAGTTGATGGTGACCATGGTGACGATGCTGACGATGACGATGACGATAATGATTCTGATGATTATGGTTGTGGTGTTTATGATGATTGTGAAGATCTCCATGGTTATGATGATGATTATTATGATGATGATGATGATGATGATGATGATGATGATGATGATGATGATGATGATGATGATGATGATTAGGATGATGCTGATGATGATGAAGATGATGATGAGGCTGATGATGATGCCGATTACGATGACGATGCTGGCCACGACGCCGATGACGATGACGATGATGGCGATGTTGATGTTGATGAATGATGACGGTGATGATGTTGGTGACGATGATGTTGATGATGATGCTGATGCTGAAGATATTGATGCTGATGTTGTTGGCGATGATGATGATGATGATGACGACGATGCTGATGATGAAGATGTTGCTGATGACAACTACCATGACGATGTCGATGACGATGCCGATGCCGATGATGATGACGATGATGACGATGATGATATTGATGATAATGATGATGCTGGTGATGATGATGCTGTTGATGATGACGGTGATGATGATGAAGATATTGTTGATGATGATGATGATGATGATGATGATGATGATGATGATGATGATGATGTTGGTGAGGATCATGATGATGATGATGGTGACGATTATGAGGATGCTGACGACGATGACGATGACGATGACGATTCTGATGATGACGATGATTATGATGATGATGACGCTGACGATTACGACGACAATGACGGCGATGATCACGATGATGATAACGATGATGATGATGATGATGATGATGATGATGATGATGATGATGATGATGATGATGATGATGATGGTGGTGGTGGTGGTAATGATGATGAGTATCTAGATTATGGTGATACAGATGTTGATGATTCTAGAGTGAATGGTGACGGCACTCACGATGACGATGATGGTGCCGATGATGATTACGATGATTTCGATAACGATGACGGCGACGTTGACGATGACAATGATGGTGTTGATGATGACGTTGATGATGACGGTGATGATGATGATGATGGGTGATGATGATGATGATGATGATGATGATGATGATGATGAGTGTGATGATGTACACGACGATTATAATGATGATGATGATTATGATGATGATGATGATGATGATGATGATGATGATGATCATGGTGGTGATGCTGATGTTGATGATGCTGATGATGATGTTACTGATGACGATGATGACGATGCTGACGATGCTGACGACGATGCCGATGACCATTGATGATTATAATGATTCTGGTGGTGGTGATGATGACGGGAATCTTGATGATGATGATGGTGATTAAGATAGTGATGGCGATTCTGATTATTACGATGATTATGAGGCTGATGACGGCGATGATCAAGACGATGAAGATGTGCTCTCGATGAGTGATGATGACGATGGTGATGACGATGACGACGTTGACGACGCTCATGATGATGATCATGACGCGGGTTGTTGTAACGATGTTGGTGATGATAACGATGATGTTGATGATGACGATGTTGCCGCAGATGATGATCCTGATGGCTTATGACGATGACGACGGTGATGATGGCGATGATGATGCTGATGATGATGATTTCTACGATGACGATGATGATAACGATGCCGATGCTGATGATGAGGACGTTGACGATGGCGATGATGATGATGGTTACGACGAAGACGTTGTTGATGATGATGGGAATGCTGATGGTGATGATGCTGCTGATGATGATGCTCATGATGATGAAGCTCATGATGATCAAGCATATCGTGATAATGCTGATGCTGCTGATGATGATGACGCAGACGGTTATGATGACGATTATGATTATGATGACGATGATGATTACGATGACGATGATAACGATGAAGATGATTATGATATTGTTGATGATGATGATGATGACGATGATGATGATGATGACGGTAATGGTGATGACGATTACGGTGACGATGGCGATGACGCTGACGATGACGATGTTGTTGTCGACGCCGATGATGATGTTGATGATGACGCTAATGATGATGTAAAGATGGTAATGATTGGGGTGACGATGATGAACATGATGATGATACTGATTGTGAGGCAACTGGAGATCTTGATGATAATGATGACGATGATGGTGAGTATGATGATGGTGAGCATGATGATGATGATGATGATGATGATGATGATGATGATGATGATGATGATGATGATGGTTATTCTTGTAATCATTATGATGATGATGACGATGCTGCATGATGACGGTGACGATGAAGGTCATGATGATGATTATGATGATGATGTTGCTCATGATGGTGATCATGGTAATGATGATGATGATCATGATGATGATGATGATGATGATCTTGATGACGATGAGGACGATGACGATTACGATGACGATGCCGACGGCGATGACGATGATACTGACGCTGTCGTTGATGCTGTTGATGATGCTTGCAATGATGATGACGATCAAGGTCTTGATGATGCTGAGGATAAAGATGATGGTGATGATGATGCTGATGACGATGACGATGACGATGACGGTTGTCATGATGATGGTGATGATGGCGATGACGATGGCGATGATGCTGGTGATGATGGTGATGTTGGCGATGATGGTGAGGATGATGGTAATGATGGTGATAATCTGCATGATGAGGGTGAATCTAATGAGGATAACGATGATTGTGATGATGATGACGATGACGATAAGGATGAAGATCACGATGATGATGTGATGTTGATGATGTTGCTGATGTCGATGGCGATGGCAATGTTGATGATGATGCTGTTGCTGATGACGGTGACGATGACGATGCTGATGGTGATGATTGTGATGATGATGATGATGGTGGTGGTGATGATGATATAGATTTCGATGACAACGGCAATGACGAGGACGATGATGATGATGATCATGATGATGATGACCATGTTGATAATGATGATGTTGACGATGACGGTGACTGTGATGATGATGCTTATGATCATGATGGAGGTGATGGAGATTATGAGCATGCTGATTCAGATGTTGTTGACGATGTTGATGTTGATGTCGATGTTGATGTCGATGTTGATCATCATCATCATTTTCATGATGATACTGGTGAAGATGATGACAATGAAGATGATGATGACGACGACGATTACGATGATGATGACGATGACGGTGACGATGACGGTGAAGATGACGATGATGCTGATTTTGGTGATGATGATGCTGATGCTGACGATGATGAAGATGATGATAATAATCATCATGATGATGTCGATTACGATGACAATGTCGATAATTGTGGTGATGATGCTGCTGCTGATGATGATGATGGATCGGATGATGATGGTAATGAGCATGATGATGATGATGATGATGATGATGATGATGATGATGATGGTGCTGATGCTGAGGCTGATGCTGATGGTAATGCTGTTGGCGCTGTTGATGTTGATATTGTTGATGATGATGATGATGGCTATGGTGATGACGATGATGGCTATGATGATGATGATGATGACGATGATGGCTATGATGATGATGATGATGATGATGATGATGATGATGATGATGATGATGATGATGATGATGGTCATGGTGGTGGTGATGGTGGTGATGCTGATGATGATGATGCCGATGACGCTGACGATCGCTATGCTGCTGCTGATGATGATTCTGCTGCTGCTGCTGATGATGATGGATATGATAGTGATGCTGATGCAGATCTTGTGCTGTTGTTGGTGATGAGTAATAGTATTATTTATCATTATTGTTATCATGATGATACTGATGAAAATGATGATGATGATGATGATGATGATGATGATGATGATGATGATGATGATGATGATGATGATGATGATGATGATGATGATGATGATGATGATGATGATGATGATGATGATGATGATGATGATGATGATGATGATGATGATGATGATGATGATGATGATGATGATGATGATGATGATGATGATGATGATGATGATGATGATGATGATGATGATGATGATGATGATGATGATGATGATGATGATGATGATGATGATGATGATGATGGTGATGGTGATGGTGATGGTGATGGTGATGGTGATGGTGATGGTGATGGTGATGGTGATGGTGATGGTGATGGTGATGGTGATGGTGATGGTGATGGTGATGGTGATGGTGAGGAGGAGGAGGAGGAGGAGGAGGAGGAGGAGGAGGAGGATTAATCTCTCTCCTGGAAATGTCTGAGCTCCGCCCTGGCTGTGGCCATGCAATCGTGAAGCCGCTTCAGCCCCGCGTCCTCGCTGGCGCGGGCGAGCACTGCTTCGGCAGCGCTCTTGCCCGGCGCTTCGTCCAGGCCGACCG